TCCCCCCCCCCTCATGGCAAATCAGCGCATCCCTATTTAAGAATAAATCCTGCGCACTTGAATCTGTCGCGATGTGCTGAGTCGTTACGTGGAAAGTTGCCGAATTAAGCGCTAACTCGATCCATCTAAGGACAGAGGAACACTCTGTTATTTTAATATTCCCACCTATGTGGTTACATCAGTGCTAAATTTGGCTTAACTTTTGAATAATTTAGTTGAGCTTGTTTGCATTATTCTATGTTTTAAATACTGTCTGGCAGCCAGTCTCAATCTCCTCTTACCCGTGGTCGATGTCTGAACCGACCACATATATGTCGGGTTGTTGAAAACAAAAGTTCTGGCAGGTTCAAATCCCACGGCTATAATATCTTTGGCATTTTCGAGAGCTAAATGCATGATTTCTTCCATGGGAGTATTCCTGCCAGCTGTATGACTAAGCGCACCTTAAAGGCCTAAAAAGGCCTACTTGGTTATTGTATATTGCACCAAGTGTCCGAAGTGAAGAAAGGATGCAGAGGGACCCCTATCAGTATGCAGACGAAAAAAACGTTGGTCACTTCTATATTTAGTAATGGTGTGATCGAGATCCCTAAATGCCTCATATAAAAGAATACGGGAAGACAAACTGGTGAGCAAAAAAGGTACCACGGTGAATGAGCTGATGCGCTGGTTTTCCGATGGCTTTTTAAGTCTTTCAATTAGTTCAGTGGAAACGGAGGGAACAGCCGAACCGCTCTATTAATTTAACGTACTTCACATCGGAATCCGAGGTTGTCTTTACTCCCCACGGAGAGGCAATATCATTGCTGACATCCTCCATTCTGACTGGAGCAGTGAGACGAATAAAAAGGATGTGAAAATTACTGAAGCACAAAAAATGGCTGTAAACGGGCCTAGAAGCCAAATTTAACTGTTGCGTTGTTATCTTCGAAGAATAGCAAGAACATGACAAACATGTAGGTTTACTGAAGTCAGAAGTATCCCTAAATGTTGGTTGTGTGATAGCCCAGTTCAGTCTATGATAATCCGTAGAGGAAAAGCAATTTAACTGATCCTCATTTTGGAAACTATCGATTTCTAGTTATGGACGATAGCCGAATGCGCTGGATACATCGGTACTAAATGGGGCCTGACCTATGGGCAGCTGAGTTGCACCTCCTAATTTTAGTCCGTTAGCCGATCCCAGTCGTGGTCGATGTCCGGACTCAGGGAGGTTCTGTCAGTAACTCATGCTCTCCAAACCCTGTGGTGGAGCAATCCATAAGCGATGATGACTACCATCCTCATCGTCGTCCAGATTAACTCCTTAGCTCCCAGTACCTCTCTCCTTCGTGTCTGCTTATGTACTTGTACAGTTGAAAAGCGACGAGAACTATCGCTGTCAAAAGGCGAATAAAATAGTAACTTATGTGTTACAGAACTCCCTCAATAAAATTTCTAAATACAATAAAATAAAAATGCATTTAGCAGTTATTAAAGTATATTCCACTGCCTATCCTGATTCCCCATCCGTAAAACCCCAATAACCACTGTTTCCGTAGGACAAAGTGCTGGGACTAGGGGTATACGAGGTGCATTATTTAGACCACTGTTGCCCTCGTTGATTTAAGCTACTGAACTCGTTTGCTGCGACTCCAGCACCTCGCGCAAGAGCATTAAATTTTGACTTCTTTTCTGTATGCTCTTCTCTTCTGTCATAATCGCCTCCCCTTGCTTCCGCGTAAAAATGCAAACCTCCAATCTGCGAGCTCTCCTGCCTTTCCAGTGACTACCGTTTTCAGCGTTGTTTGTTACCTACTGACGAGAAACTTCCCCTGTTTGTTTTTTTTTGAAATTGCTGTCTTCCTTTGCATTAGGTGTGACAGTTACTACCGGGGGCGGGGGGCAGGGGAGGAGAGAGTGGAAAAGCAGGGTGACTCATGAACGTGCGTACAGTAGATTGCCTAACTCATGAATTTCACAAGGAAATCTGTTACGCAAAATCAGACCACGCTGCTACCACTCAAGTCTTACAACAGTCAAGGAACGGCTGTTTTTAAAATGAAGCCATATTGCAGTTTATGAGTTACTATCACCCTCTTCGAGAATACTCGTTTTTAGATAAACGTAAAAAAATCGGTGTAAGTAAACGTACATTTTAACTCTACGGAAAGCCTACAAAAAAATACGAGTGAAAAAGAAGCACAAATTAAAATCGCTCTGGAAAATTGTCCTTTTGTGATTTTTTTGAGACATTCTCTTCCTCATTATGTGCAGTGTAACGTATGGCCGCTACCCAACACCTTAAATTTCGAGGATATATTCCAAAATGGGTTCACGCGAAATAACTGTTTTTTTCTCCATTTTTATATTTTTTGAGATGCGTCGGACTAAGGCAAACAGATTTTCACTTGATTGCGCCGAAAAAGACGTCACAGGATTAAGATAAGCTTATAAGCTCACAGTTGGATAGGCTGGCCATCAACTAATAGAATTGTCAGGTGCAATCGTAAGCGTATTTATGAGAGTTTTCGATCCGTAGCTTTCAATAGCATATGACAATTCTTGGATATCAAGGAACGTCGAATTTCGCCTAATTATGGCCTGTTTTCCTTCAATAA